CAAGTGAGCCTTCAGAGCTGTGGCTGCAGGAGCCTGGGAGATGCTACTCTCGGCAGGCCCAGGCCGCAGTCCAGCTGCCACACTCGCACTGTTGCCTGCTGTTCTCTGGGACAGATGTCTAGGCCGGGTTAGGGACAAGCAAGTCTACGCCCTGCTAGTGCACGAACACCTGCGACCACAAAGGCCCATGACAACTGCTTGCTATCTTCAAACCTGTGTTCTTAAATCTTGACCCTAACCTCCATCCCAACAAGGCTACCACCCCGGGGGCTAGAATGCCGTGCTTCGCTTCGGAAACTTGAAGCTCTTTTACCTATGACTTGCTGTGCCTCCAGAGCCCCAAAACAAACAGGAAATTCTATGAGGGACAATGGATTAGTGATGAACAACCAAACAAAATGCGAATAAGATAAGTTACCATTCAAGCCCTACAAGGTACTTGCTTCCAGTAAAGAGACATCCCGCACTCCACAGAGGGTCTCAAGTCCCTTGTGAGTGTGCTTTCTTCAGGCCCAATGATACCCTGACCTCTGCCTAGAGCCCTGACCCTAGCTAGACTCCAAGGAAAATCAATGGAATGGAAGAAAAGAGCCAAAACGCGAGGTGAGGGAAGGGGAGCAGGTTACGGGAAGTCAAAATCTTTTCTAGCCTCCAAAGCATAGCTTAATTTTAAGACAGATATGATCCTTCCACTCAAAAAGACATGCTCACGAACACATACTGGGACACACACAAAATATCTCTCTCTCTCTCTCTCTCTCTCTCTCTCTCTCTCTCTCTCTCTCACACACACACACACACACACACACACACGCACACTTACCTGGAACACACGCCCAAGAAAACATTGGCACGGAAAATACTGAGGGCGCTGGAGCGGACTCACCTGCCTCTAGAGTGGTGCCGTTCAGCATTCTTTCTGCAAGAGGGGTGGATCGCGCAGTGAAATGCGGTTGTGCTGTTAGAAAAAGAAAACCTGGCGTGTCAGCTAGACATTACCGCTCCGGCCCCAAGAACCTTCTCCCCTTGGTTGGGCGGGACTCAGCCTCTTGTTTGCTAAGATTCGGGGACCCAGGGGGTTAGAGCTTAGCTGAGTTTCCTTTCCAGAGCTCCAGGGACACCCGGACTAGACGCACCTCTTCCCCTACCCCCACCCGGGGTGGGGGGAGTAAAGCACTCCCCACTACAACCTAACGGGATATTATTACCTTGATGTCTTTTCTTGGTTCTTCTCAAATATTTGGTTTTTGGAGAGGAGGTGGCCAGAGGTGGCGGTCAGGGCTGTGGGCTAGTCCCCACGTCTCACTCGGTTAATCAAATAAACAAGCCAGTGAATGAACTTAAGCGCTCTCTCTCCCTCCCTCCCTCCCTCCCTTCCTCCCTCTCTCCCTCCTTCTCTCCCTCTGCTCCTCCCTTCTCTTTCCAGTATTGACCTGAATCTCTCACCTCTGACCTTCAGCCTCCTCCACCTGTCTTTTATTTTCTGTTTATGCTTTCTCAAATCGGAAAAGGCAGGGGTGGGGGTGGCAGAGGGCTCAGCCTCTGGCCAGTGCCCCAACACCCGTTCTGAGGCCACGCTCAGCCCTGCCAGCCTCTCAATAATCCAAGGAGGTGTTAATGGAAGACTTGGCGGCAAGGGAACCTCATAAAGCCACGAGCATCCCGAGGCTTGGGCGCAGCCGGGGTGGGGGTGGGTGGGAGGGGAGCTGGAGCCCCGCAGTGCACCCTGGGCTCCCGGACCCCTAGTCTGCCTTTGCTTTGCTCAAGCTGATACCTAAAAGATGCTGCCGCCAGCTGGTGCCTGTTACATAGACGGTGAATGGTGGTAGCTCCTGGGGAAAATGGGCTAAGCTAGTGATTGCTCACACACCATCCCCGCCTTCCTCTCCTTATGCTTTACTCAGAGTTGGTGCTCCGAAGCCAGGCATTAGAAACCCAGCAAGTTGGAGAGCAGTCTTCTCTGGATGGCGGCCGTTGAGACCAGTCCACGAGGGAGCCCAAGACACCTGTCCCTCTTGGGTCCTTGAGCAAGGGCTGAAACTAACCTTCTAGAAGGAAACCTACACTCAAACCCGCGGAGATGGCTACCGCAGAGATGCTTTGGGACCCGGGACCGAACGAGGCCCCTGTTACCTGGTCTCAGGTTCCTCTAGGACTGCGTAGCCCCAGGTTCCCAGGAGCCGCTGGGAAGTGGAGGAGACTCGGAAGCCAGACCTCTGGCCAATTATTTACCCCACTCCCCAGCCAGGGCACCCCTCGCAGTCGGAGATGGGGAGGCGGGGGATTAGCCTGGGCTCCCGCGCCTGTGGGGAAGGAGGTGTGAGCAGAGAGATTGGCAGCTCCGGAACGCCGGTCAGCGACGGCGCCGCCCTCCCCCACCCGTCTGCTCCCCAAAGCCTCGCAGTCTTAGCGGCTCCTTGACTTGGCATGGGCCAAGGACTGGATGGGCTAAAGGCATTCGTGTGCCTCAAAGCCACCAGCAAAAACCACGGAATTGTGCGGGGATGGAAGCTAGCCAGTTCCACAAGCTCACCACAGTTTGGAGCTTTAAGGGACAGCTCAGGAATAGCGAATTCAAGCCTCCGTCCCAGCCCCCAGCCCGTACCCACTCTGCATCCTACGCTGCAGAAAGTCGCTCGGGAGCCCTAGAGACTGAGCCTCGGGTTCCACTGGACTTCGTGAACTAGTCCCTTCGGCCAAACAGGCTTTCCCAGGATCACCCTGGGTTATTCAACTTAGTTTTTCTATTGTATCCTCCTGGAGGGAACAAGACTCTTGGGTTCAGCTTTTATGCTAATCATTGAACAGGGCACTAGGAACGCTTAGGTGTTCTGGAATTCAGTCCTATGCAGTGCCTTTTAACTTTTTTGAGAATTACTTTCGAATCTGAAAATGCATCTTAGGTATTGTAGGGTAGTGAAAAAAGTGACACGGAGCTTTTAATTCTCCACCATTGGCAGATGTCGGTTCACAAGCTTCCGCCAGTCATCGGTAGATGAGTGGGAGGCTGAGGCGGGAGGAGTGAAGGGTAAGGTGTGGAAGGGCAAGGTTCCTTTTGGGCTGACCTGGAGCCCTGAAGTCCAGAGTCTTCTAACAGCTGAGGGACACAATATAGCAACTGCCATTCATCAGGTAGGTAGGTAGGTCCTTCCCTAATCTTGTCTGGAGAGAAATCAAAGCCCTATCAGTTTTTGATGTTCTGACTGGCTTTGTTGAGCAAAGGACATAGCAAAAAATACCCTTGGAAGAGAGGGGCATTCTGCTGAAACAAAGACCCTTAGTGGAGCCATTGAAAACTTCAGGATCCCGTCTGTTGCAAACACCCACTTTGGAACTTCAAGTTTTACTTGAAAAGATAAAATTATTCTTCTCGACCTTCTTAATCAGTGGGGACAGTGCAGCCCCTGAAAGAGGATTGCCACCACAGCTAGGGAGGGCCTTCTCCCAGCTGAGAGAATGTAGCCTCAGAAATCCATCTCCACCCCTGTTCTAGTAACCTTAGCTTCCCTTGGGTCATTCTGTGTTAGAAACAATCCAAAAAAATCAGTCTCTCTTGATTTATTGTACCCTGGGGCAGGAGGAGTCTCTAGAAACCTTGAGAGTGTGGCTATACCAGAATTGATTTATATGGGATATTGCTATTTCTGGGCATCTCCATGTGTTCGTATCTATGCACCCACTAAGAGACCTGAGTCTTTACTTTACAATGTGTGAAAACCATATAGCTTCAGTCCTCTTGCAGCCAAGTTCATTTATGTGGCAATATTGTGTTTACTGTGGAAGCTATGGTCCTGTTATATCATTCATTGTTCAGATGAAGCAAAGCCCTACCAATTTTTTTTTTAATGTTAGGACTTTGTTGAGCAAAGGACTTTGTAATAAATGTCTTTGAGGAGGGGGCATTTTGCTAATACAAAGACCCTCAGTGGACCCAAGTTAGATCTCTTCAGAACCATAACAGACCTCTCCTCCTGGCATCAAATGTAGGCAAGAATAATTGCCTCCTCTTTCCTTCCGAACCCAGCAGCTACTAAGCTGCACATTGAAATCCCAAGAATTGCCGATCTCCATGATGGCTAGGTGTTTGTTTGTTTATAAGGAATGTACTAAGAGAAAGAAAGGATGTCCCTGGGAGTTCCATTATTGCGGGTTGGTTCTAATGCTATTTGTATTAATTCAGCTCCCCAAATCACCCAGGAACCCGCATATCGACCTGTAAGACACTGAGGATCCATGCCCCCAGTTGGCTCTAATTGGTGAATAAAGTTGCCAATGGCCAATGGTTGGCAGGGAGACAGAGGTGGGGCTTTGAGGTTCCTGGGCTTCCTCTGGGCAGCAGAAGTCAGTTACTGCCTAACTCTTTCATTCACTGGCAGAAAAAGGGCCTCACAGTGGCTACTGTCCTACAGGAGAACCTGAGGTGTGAAAACAATTCCTGGGAGATCCTGTCTCACTGGAAGCTGGGCTCTCACAGGGAAATCCCCACAATGGACAACACCTATACAGAGCTAGAAAGAAGTTCAAAGGCAGGTTTGCCTGGGAGGTGTCACAAGAAGAGGAGGAGGTCTAAGAGAAGCATGTCTGACACACACCCCCATATCAAAATGATAAGAAGTTTACACTGAAAGAGCAGATGGACAGATGGTGGGAACAGCTCCTGCTGCAGGGTACCATTTTCTGGGTATCAGTATGCTGCAATACATGGTACTGTATCCATTGCCTTAAGTTGAAGATACAAATACAAAATGTGCTTGCTATTTACCAGCAAACTTCCTTGCACTGATGAGGGGAAATATGGAAGAAGTAAAGCTATAAGAAAAACTCAAAGCTGCTCTATGACCTGACAGCTCCTTCCATGCAATAGGACAGCCATTGTTTTCTCCTTCAACGTATGCCTGTGGCCATGCAGCAAAAAGAAGAGAAAATAATGTGTATTTTGTGGATCTTCTTTTGGATGTATGTACTTAATATTAACTAAGTGTTCAAATATTCATAACAGATAATTCTAGATTAGGGCTTTATTTTCAAAAACACACGCACGCTTAATTTGACAGAAAAGAGATGAAGCTACCGTCAAGCATAAAAATAGGAGTTGAATTGCTTCTTCTTGGATGGATCTTTCACATTGACTTGGCCATATGGACACTGAAAAAGAAGGACAGCAAATGATTATGGAATTATTTAACAGTCATTGTGGGAAAGTACATTTCTCATGGTGAGAAAAAAAGTGCTGTTAACAATGTTTTAAATCACTTGATCTATATGTCTTGGGGACTAAGAAGTACACTAGGAACTTTGAGTAAATAGCCCTAATTAGGATCCAGGAACCATTTCCTAAGTATATCTTTCCAGCCTCAAGAATTTTATTACCAAACCCCTTTTCTTACAAAATCCATGGGTGTGAGATTTACACAAAGCTCTTATGCATTTGATTAGAAACAGTTCATGGCACAGATAGGAGAATCCATAAAAGTGAAGGCTGACTTTTAGAACACTGTCCACAGTTCATATGAGCATTTACTGTCTAGTCTTTAATTAGTAAAAGGAATAACATCTTCTTTTAGGAAAAACATATAAAATATTCTGTAAACAGATGTTATCTGGTTATAACCTTAACCTACTAACAATGTGCCTCAGAGATATACCTTCCAACAGGAAACAAACAAACTCTGATCTCTTCTTTGATCAGAAAACAGGAAGAAATAGTTCATTCGCTTTGATTATTAAGCATAGGCATGAGACTCTTGAAATAAGCACACTCAGACCTATGGCACGAACTTTGGACTAATCTGGTCTCACACTTACTTTAAACACAATTTAAACACAGGCTAGAAGAAAGCAGAGAATGAAGTGTGGAGGGGAAAAGGGAGGGACAGGAGACAGAGAGAGGCAGGCAGAGAGAGACAGAGACACAGAGGCAGAGAGAGACAGAGAGAGGCAGAGACACAGAGGGAAAGACAGAGAGACAGAGACAGAGACAGAGAGAAAGGGACAGGAAGGCAGAGAAAGTGGGGGTGGAGCAAAGAGTGAAAGATAGAGAAATAGAGACAGAAAGAATATGAACTACAGAAAAGTTGAGCTCCAGCACTGAGATCTGTATGCTGAGGGAAAGCATGTGAAGCAGGGAGTGGAGTGGAAGGGAAGAAAGAAGTCTTATCATTACAAGATCTGCAAATTTCTGCTTCTTAAGCTAGCAGTATTTTTAGGATCTGGCTTGCAACATTTTTTTTGGGGGGGGAAGGAGGGGGTTGGTTTCTCTTCTTGCCCTCTGTGCATGCCTAGTGAATACAACTTCTTTCAGACTTCAGGAAAGCTTTTCTTGAAATAAAGAGCTCCCCTGAATTTCAGGTCTTAGCATTTGGAGGAGCTGATGCAGTGAAATGTTACAAAATTCCATTAACTTTAAAGGTCCTGTGTTGGTACTAACAGCTTCATTGTCCTTTGCTAAACCAGCTTGTGAAAAGCACGCTCTAGGTCTATTTAGCTTTTTTATTTGACTTGTTGTTCAAATAATAGGTATTTATGAAGTTACAGAAGCTCAGCAAACTGCCAGGGTAATTCGAGAATTGTTACTCACGTGTCTGCAGGCAGAGCCACAGCAGGCGCCTCTCTGCAAGTGGGCCAGCCTTGTGAGAACCACATAGCCGGTAGCTGGGTCCACATAGCTTAGCTGGCCAGCCTGAAGAGTAATAAAACAATACATCAATCTTCGTTAATGTTCATCATATCTCCCTAGCAATATTTTTAGTCCAAAACGATTGTAAAAATTAAAAGAAAGACCAGTATTAAATTTCTTTTCCAGTAATTGTAGTGGCGCTTGTCATTAAAGAGCATGTGCATTTCAACGCTATATACAAGCTAACTGTATGTGATTAAAGGGGAAAAGCATACAGTTTGAGTAAAATGAGAAGTTGATAGAAAAACAAGAACTCCTCTGTATGCGACGACTATGTGGCTGCCGCTCTGATATTTTTCATTCTGCCTCTAGGTAACAAGCTTAATAACAGGTGATTTAGATGACTTTAAGAGCTTAAGAGGCTGGAAATGAACTGCACTCAGAAGCTGCAGTTACAATTTCAGTACTTACAATATGTGGCTAATGATTTAAACTCACAGAAAAGGTGCTAATCAAAGCCAAACAGGCCTCACAGAGAAGCATTGCCTTTGCCATTCTTGAGTATTTTCTATAACTTCCCGATGTGTTACTGCACTACAAGGTCCACAGTTGTCCTGTCCTCTCCATCACTGGTGTTGTTAGATCTCATCTTAACTGAAAAGGTATTGTTTTGCCACATCAACGCTCACTGCCTTAACAAGCTTGATCAACAGCAATTTCCAGGATACTGCTTCAAACTTCAGGATGTATTTTCCACTTATATGCAATTGTGATTTAAAAAATAAAGCCTCCAAAGCACTGTGTGTGCAGGGAAAGGCATTGTGACTTCTCCTATGGACATATATCATGTTAATGATGTTTCTTAGCCTCCAGATTTTATAGGGGAACTTTCCTATGGGCTTTTATATAACACTTTGACCATTAGGAACTCAGTGTATCACTCCTGCACATACTTTCATTAAAACATGCATGAAAACAGTAGGTCTTCTGGCACAGGCACACACACACACACACACACACACACACACACACACACCCTCTCTTTCTCTCTGAGATGGTCTCACTATATGGCCTTTCCTGGTCCAGAACTATGTAGATCAGGCTGGCCTTAAGCTCACAACTAACCTGTCTGCTTCAGCCTCGGATGCAAGGCATGTACCACTCCTGACGGCTCTGGCATACATTTTCCAATTGATCATGAACAACTTCAGCTGTCCAAGTTATACTTAATGAAGTCATTCATTAAGTATGTGCAGGAGTGATACACTGAGCTCCTAATGGTCTAAGTGTTATATAAAAGCCCATAGGAATGACATTTTGGTCAACTTATGTTAGTTCAAGTCTGGGTTCACTCTAAGGCATTCCTGCACAGATAGATCAGGGCAGTAAGAATTCAGCAAGTCCCAGTGCTGGTCTCAGGGGTCACCCAAATCCTGAGGCCTTGTGACAACAGCAGATCCACCCAACACTACTTTAGAATGACCCACTGTCAGAACCTCATGTCCTTTTCTTTTCTTTTCTCTTCCCCCTTGCCACAAAGAGGCAAATAAACAAAACACTGCAAACCCTTTATAGTTTTCACTTAGCTTCTGTGTTTTCTGGAGACGATTATCTGGCAACCTAGAAGCCTAACAGGTTGCTCATGTGGATAGTGTACCTCTGAGTTTGTCGGCTGCTTACACACAGTTAATTTCTCATTACATGAGCCTCGGACAATTATGACAACAAAGATGAGACAAGTTTGCTGACAGTTTAACTGGAGAGCAAGACGTCCATGGAAAGCAAGACATCCAGTTCAGCAACGGGGAAAGGTAAGGGCGCTATCTTCCTTGAGGCATGGAAAAATACTGCCATTTGGGAGCTCTTATTTGCAGAAAAGCAAAACATCAACATGCTTTTGGGTTTGCTTCTGGTCTCCTGGACAGTCACACAACCTGCAAAATCCACACTGATGAAAAGGTTGTGGGTTCCCAGGTGCAAATACCTCCTCCCTTCCTTTTTCTATCTTGATTGAACCAGTCTACATACATGCCACTGTTGTTTGCCGTGAAAAATGATGAGACTTCTGGCGTTTACCAACCATATTTGTATGGTGACTTGTGGAAACAAACTGCATGCGTTATATTTAAAATGAGAGCACAAGCAAGAACAGTCAAAAGCTGTCAGTAATCATTCGATAAATCTTTATTCACTTTCAACACATGAAAGGGTTAGACCGTGGATTTTCGGGGCATACTACTCCCAAGGGAGAGTGTCAACCTTAGGAAATGTTCAAGGTTTTTCTCTGCCTCTGTGGCTCAATCCAAATCAAATAATACTCAGTGGTCTTATCAAGTACTAGACAAACACAGAGCGTAATACATAGGTTTATTACAAATCACTTTTATGTCATTATAAAACTTAAAATATAAATAATGCTATCTTCAAACTATTGTATTCTAAAGTGTCAGGAACCTGAAGGGAGATAAGGTTAGATACTGGTGGTGACAAGCAATTATCATATCCACAAATCAGAAGAAAAGGTTATTTAAGAATGCCTAGGGAAAAATGCAAACTTGCCGGACTGTAACTTCTTCTGCTCACTTTGATTGGAGGCAAAGGATGAGAGGACATAGAGCAAAAATGTAAAGCGTCTGTCTTATGTTTTCATTATTAAGGTAACTGGACGGCAGGCTGCTCAAGTTATCATGCACAATCAACATGTCCCGTACCACATACTTTTCTTTTAACTGCTCAGTCCTTCTTTCTACCCTCAGTTCCTTAACACCCTTTTCCCCACCCAACACACTCACACACTGGAGGGCGCGCACACACACAAACCCTGGGACAAGCCTGTAGCTGGGACACAGATCAGAAACCGAACCGAGCTCTCAATCTCAGGGCAGACACCTCTCTGTCCGGAACGCAAAAGTGCGACCCGGTTTGTCGCAGGACCCTCTGAACAGACGCACTAGGCAGCCCCGCCGCCCCAGGCTGGAGACCCAGGACCTCCGGGCCGGGCTGCCTCGGGGGGGGGGGGCCGAAGGTCGGACGCGCGCAGGCGCAGGCGCAGAGGCCGTGGGACAGGCTGGAGCGGGCCTCACCGCGCAGGCGGCCCGGTGCAGCTCGGCGATGTGTTTCTCCGCCGCTGTTAACTCTCGGCTCGCTGGATGCCTCGGTTCTCCTTCAGGCGTTCCCAACGAGCTGGGCGCGGAGCCGCCGCAGGCTCCCTCGGAAGCTGAACGGAGGGTTAGGCTGAGCTGCTGTCGGAAGCCTTCGACCCCAGGCGGTGGCCTCCCAAGCACTACTCTCGCCGGCCTCCAGATCCCCTGGGCGGCCATGGCGCCGGCGCGGTGGAGGCAGGGTCGGGAGGTGGGGCGTGGCCAGAAGAGGCGGGGCCGGGTGTTGGGGGCGGGGCGAAGAGGGGAGGCGGAGCACTGTTCAATGAAGAGCATGCTGCCCCTTCGTCTCCAGCTTCCTCACCCCGCTCTCCTGCAGAGAAAAACGTGCACGTGAAGACTGGAAGAAGGTGCTTTCTCTAGTCTTAAAGTCTCTGCTATTTTTTTTCTCAAATAGAGTGTTTTAGTTTCCTGTCAAGCTAGATCGTATTTAGCATAATGCTTGTGTGAAAAAAATAAAAAAGAAAGCACCTTCAGTCCATATGGAAAAGGCTGCATGTTTGCTGGTCATGTGTGACAGGAATGAAGCTGGAATCACAAGCTTGGTGACATGGTTCGTTGGCTCACTCTAGAATGAAAATGAAGGAAAAGTCTCACACTAAGAAAGGATGCTATTTTCGTGTACCGAAGTTTTCACAAAACCAAACCTAAAATCCTGTCTGAGAAAGTGACACCCATACGCCTACAAAGTTAATTTAGGGAAATTAGCAAGAACCCAGGAAACAATTCTGTGTGTTCATTAAATTAACACCACTCCCAGCCTTGGACCCCACAGACTGAATTTCAAGAGAACGCCGTGTCGTTGAGTAGTTTTCTTAGTGCTCTTTGGGCAGGAGTGGATTCTCGACAGCAGAAGTGGGTTAGCAGGGCAGGACAAAGATGTCTAAGCCGCCACAGACCATCCCAACCCCTCTTTACACTGTCTGTGTTTTCCCTGCAACCCTGAAACCACAATTTGATTGTTTTTTTTCTAAGATGTATGTAACTATTTGTTATATGTATGTGAGCACACTGTTTGCTCTCTTCAGACACACCAGAAGACAGTACTGGATCCCATTTTAGATGGTTGTGAGCCACCATGTGGTTGCTGGGAATTGAACACAGCACCTCTAGAAGGGCAGTCCATGCTCTTAACCACTGGGCCATCTCTCCAGCCAGCCCCCAATTCAATGTCCTTAATCACACATTGAAACAACTCTATTGGTATATTATAAAACTCAGTGAATTAATAAATTGGAATCCTGTGTTCAAATGCTCCTTCATATTGGAATAATATATTTGCAATTTGGAGACTGCCTGGTGTTCTGAGGGGCTTTGAGGAAATCTGGAAGGATGGGACCAAGGAAATTAATATCATTGAACATGAGAATTTAAGCATAAGTCAGGTTCCTGTTCATCCCAACTGACATCACAAAATTACACTTATGGGCTCAGGAGGTGGAGACATGAGGATTGTGAGCTACATGCTGAGGTCCAGCCATAACAAGATTCAGTCTAAGAGAAAGAAAAATAAGTGTCCTGGTTAGTCTATGCCTCTGGGCACGTAGGTGGAGGATGATCTTGGTATTAGTCACATGATACCACTGTTTGCATTCTTACAGATGCCTCTGTAAAATATAATCAAAGTTGAAATATAATGAAATGAAATGAGAAAATATCTCACTACTAAGAATTCCAAAGCATTTTAAATATCTATTTTCAGGTTTTGACTGATTGTCAGTATCGTATCCAGTCTTCTTTCCCGTGTCTCTTGTTCTGAAAGGCCAAAACAAATGGACTCAATGGTATTTTTGTGGACTTTTTTCTTTTGTTTTGGATTTTTCTAAAAAGAGAGAGAGAGAGAGAGAGAGAGAGAGAGAGAGAGAGAGAAAAACTCAATAAATCATCAGTCTTTTTTGTTTGGTTTTTGTTTTTTTTGTGTGCATGTGTATGTAGGGGGGGAGAGGGTGTTCTTGTGTTTTTGTTCCAAAGAGAGGAGCATTAAGTTGGGTAGACAGGAAGATGGGTAGAAGCTGGGAGGATCTAAGGGAAGGCAAATGTGATTAACATATGTAATCTTTGTGAAGTCTTTGCTTCATAAAAAAAGAGCACAAAAGCCTCAAACTATAGAAAGTGGACAGTTTATTTTACAACTTTGCCAAGTCTGGCATGAGCCCAGAAAGGCGGGAGTACTGATTGAATGCTGAAGACAGTTTTAAACCATAAGGAGAACAAAGCCCCTTCCTTCCTGTTCCCTATAGCTGAGGAATCTGGAGGGGACAATGCTAGGGGCCATCTGTGTCCTATCTTTCCTTCTCTCTATTACCTTTGTCTTTTTCTCAAGAAATCACCTGCCTGGGCCTCGTCTCTACACTTTATACCCTTTCAATTATCAGACTTATTAGATGTGTGACTTTGTAGGAAGGCTTGGCTATTAGTACTGCATTCTAAACTAGAGTTTGGGTGGGTCAGGGTGTAGTCAGACTATCAGGCTTCAGTAAGGGTCTAGCATTTTCTGGCTTTAGGCACCTCTGAAAATGACCCATCAGATTTAATTTTTTAAAACCAGGGTAATATTCATTCTTGAATCAGTCTTATGAGAGCAGGTTATGTTTAGTTCAATCAGGATTAATCTGGACATACCTGTATGTAACGTACCCCTCCCTGTTTCAAAGTGTACTTTATTAATGTCAAGGGCACAATCAACAAATATTTACTATGGTGTGGCTTCCAAAAGCAAAATAAAGTCATCAGCCCACCCAGAGATTTTATTGTTTAAATTTTCATCTTCATTTTTTAAAAATTGTTCCTCTCATTTGCCCTGATTGTCCCTCCTTGACATGTCACGATCACACACACCCTTTTAGTTTTTGGCATTGTATCCTCAAAACATTACAAGCAATCGGTAACATGCCTTTTCCATCTTCCCATCATGCTCTTCTGCATGTCATACTATGAAAACCAGCAATGAATAGGAGATTTAGAATTGCATAAATAAGTCATTGTCTTTCTCCTACATACTTGTCAGAAATGCCATCTGGAATTGTAGGTTTTCTATAGGTGATAATACATATTTGAGCAAATATATAATACTTGTAAACAATTGTTTTTGAAAAACCTAAATGAAATGATATACTAAATGTTAAATGAATAACTGGGTTATTTTAGTTACCGCACACATACATACCTCATCATGGATCTGATCTGAGCCCCTAAATTGCTGCCTCCTCAAGCAATATTTTACATTATGAATATATTGAGCTGTGAGTGGACAGTTAGCACTGGAGCCACAGAGCTAACAACGCACTTCTTGACCAAATACTTCCTGTTACATTTATTTATTTTGGATGCCGATTTGTGTATTTGATGTTTTTCAAATACCCGGATGTTGTGTTGTGACATGGCGTGCTGCATTCAGATGCGTTCTTAGTATCAGTCCCAATGACTGAGAGCAAATATTACATGTCCCTAAGGTTGCCTATGGGGATTTTTTTCCCTCCCATTTAATCAAACATTGAATATCACATGCTATTTCACAGAACTTGTTTTTAGAAAATTCTTCCGGGAATTCTAACTCTTTCTATTTGTGAGCTCTGCTGACTTCCCAGCGGATGCTGCTCCACCAGTGTCCCATGCCTGGAGCACAGCTGTACTGACTCCCATCCTTCTGTGGGTTCTTGTCATCCTGGAAAAGTATAGGTGAGCCACATAACATGAAGCAATCTAGCCACTTCATCTCCCCATCTCCTCCTCTCTCTCAACTACTGTAATGAAGAGCAGTTGGCATCAACCCTCATTGCCTGCTTCAAGTCTCTCAGATGACTTGACTGGACAGCACACTCACTTGGCACCTGGTTGACTGAGAGATGCTGAACTCTACACACACACACACACACACACACACACACACACACACACACACACCATCAGAGTCATCTCCAGGTATTTTGAAGTTTTGTTTGTGTGACATTACTACACCTGTATTTCCTTAGGCTCCAGCCTGTACCTATTCTGGTAGCTTCTCTGGCAGCTCACTTTGCTCATGGTTTCCAGCCTTTTCTAAAGGACATGTGCACTCTACCTAGACACTCCCCTAATATCTAGAGCACAACTACATTTGCACTCACCTCTAGTATTATTTTGTTTATGAGATTTTTTCTTTTCCTTCTCCTTTACTGTTGAGTCTTTAAAGATAAAGATAGTCTTCTTTTTTTTAATCTGTCATGGCACGAGTACATAAGAAATGCTGAGACAGAGTGAGAGAGGGAAAGAGAAGAAAATCTGGCCCAGTGAACGGATGAATACATCATAGTAGTAAAGCCCGGTTGTCAATTATACCATCAAGAAGTAATACAATTGCATTGTCTCCTAATATGCTATGGTTAAGAATCAGCTTTGGGCTCTCCCAACACATCAGTTTTCCATAGGCTATTGTTCTGAGACAAAGTATACTAAGATGTAACTATGATTTTATTTGGCAATCTCTTTAGTAAGTTTCCCTGAAACCGTCATTGAATTAATGGTGAGCACAGTGTATGGGCGGCACTCCAAATGAAATAAGTACATGTTGACAGTGAAGTGAAGCCTTGTTAACCCTGAACAATCATTCCAATTATAAACTACATGCACACAATCACTGTCACATGAAGTATCCGCACTAATTACTGCTAGCCCTTCTGTTATGCAGGCATTACAAACGAAACCTACAATTGTGTCTATTCAGTACAAGCTGTGGAATCTCCCAGAAGAGCGTGGCTAAATTAGAAGAATATATATCATACATTTTGTTTTGTTATTATACATGTATTTGATTTGTGCTTTGAAAGTGTATGGACAGCACAGTTTTACAGGCTTTCCCACACAAGAGCACATTTGAAACAGGCATCTTGGCTAGGTCCACAAACGCAGCATACAAATCAGAGAGCTGTTCTCTGCACTCTTGTTGCTGCCTGAGGGGGAATGCATGTCCACTGTTCCATGACTGGAATGAAAGGCACACTGAGTTTCAGGTCAGATATCCATGACATTGACATGTACGACTAGTCTACTGAGTATGATACATGTTAATATCTTCCCAGCGGTGAGTCGGAGCGATACGCCTCACTGAGCAGCACAACACATGCAACCCCTTTAGGGTTTCCACAGGTGTAACGCTGATGCACCTTCAGAGGCTGTGGAATGTAAGTCTACTTCTGCAGTAATATGGTCATATTT